TCTTCTGCGATATTTTTGACTTCTTGCAAAAAACGGCAAGTCATATTGCTTTGATATTACATATATAGGTACTACTGGGTACATGTGGACCTTTCTCAGATTTGTTCATTTCGTGATGATATCTTTAATTCTCTAATTTTGATGAATATTTTTGTCATTTTTGGTAAAAGTGATATTTTCGAGTTCTTGTTAAAAACCACAAGTCTGATTGCTTTGATACTATGCATTTAGTTCATTTTCTAATGATATCTTCAGTTCGTAATTGAAATGTGCATTGCCAGCAGTGGAGCTATCTCAACTGACAGGCTGCTTGTTGCTATTTTTCAATAATTATATCCTTCTTTTATTACACATTTACAGCACATCCACACACAATGACAATTTTCCAAATTCATATGCACCATTGTCAACACAGAGTAATGACTCATCAGCTGCTTTGACACCAAGTAATAGCTCAACCCCACCAAGGGTACCAAGTAGTAATTCAACTCATCCAGTGGCACCGTGTACTGTTAACATCTTAATCCCGTCAGTGGCACCAAGTAGTGATTCAACACCTGCATCTGTATGGAATGATAATATGTCTACATCTGCACCAAGTAATATATCAACATCTTCAGCTGGCCTATTATCAATCATGGATAAGTAAGTATAATCACCATCTGTATTATCATTTCTACCATTTGGAGGCATTGTTGTCATTGTGTGGTATGTGCAATACTCCAGCAGGGCTGGTTTTTCTTTTGGAAGGAATGATTTCAGTAATTTCAAATGATGTGTTTGAAACATTAGTTTGTTAGTCCCCGTTCGGATGTAGTCTGAAAACGGGGACTTTGTTTGCCCTGTGTGCGTCCGTCCGTTCGTCCATCCGTCCGTGCGTGCGTCTGTCCGTGATCACCTGTATCTCAGACATGCATGGACTGATTAAGTTCAGACTTTACTCATACATCACACATTATATGCACGTGCATTTTTTTCATGATCCGATTAACGATAGCTGAATAGCGGCCATTTTAAGGCCGAAAATGCATCAAAATCGTTCATTTTCACCATTCCAGACCCGGATCTCAGTTATGCATGGACGGATCATTTTTTTTCCGGATCAAGTTCAAAATGGCCGACTGGTGGCCATTTTGTTTTAAAGAATTCAGTTCTGGATCCGTATCCGAGACATGTCTGGATTGATCAAGTTCAAACTTCACACACACATGGTACATCATGTCACAAATAGATATGTGCATTTGTTTCATGATCCGCTTAACAATAGCTGAATGATGGCCATTTTAAGGCCAAAACGAAAATGCATCAAAATCACATATTTTCACAATTCTGGAACCGGATCTCAGTCATACATGGATGGATTCTGTTCAGATTTAGTACATATATTAAACATAATATAAGCTTGATGCACACCAATTTTTCTTCGGATCAAGTTCAAAATGGCCGACTGGCGGCCATTTTGTTTTAAAGAATTTAGTTTTCGATCCATATCTCGGACATGCCTGGACAGATCAAGTTCAAACTTCACACAAACATCATACATTATATCATACATATGCCTGTGCATTTGGGCCAGTCCTTTTAAGGTTAAAAATTCACCAAAATTGCACATTTTTACCATTCCGGAACTGGATCTTAGTCCACCAAAAGTGGTCTGAGATTTCGGTCATGATCTGCTTTGAATGTATATGTCACTCAAATATGAACAGAACGGGGACGTGTCATTGACAATGACTTGTTATAAATGTTTTCGCACACAGTGGAGCTATCTGTTTTATTTATTCATTGGTTCAGAGCAACTTATTATTTTCTACATGTAGATGTTATTCAGAAATTGTAACAGATGAAGAACAAACTGATGAAAGTGCAGAAGATGAAATTATTCATGGGGAAGGGATTATCACCAATCAATACACAAGGTATTCTATTGCTTGGAATCTATGTATAAGCTGAAACTTTGTTAATATGACAAAACAATATATCAGACTTGTTTTTTGTATTTCTGCGCAAAGTAATTTCTTCCCGGTAAACAACAAATATTTTGTAAGAAATAGCATGGAGTTGAATCAACAGAGTTCTAGGTTATCAAGAAAAGACCAAACCATTCTTTTCTAATTGGTGTATTACACTTTAAGAGTTTCTCCCACTGAATGTGCATACAAAATGCAATATATATCACTCAGGTTATTTTTCTGTCAATTTGTGTGAGTTAAGGTTCAGCTGTTTTTGCCAAAAAAATATGAAAATTTTGATGTCACTCACTGGATTAAACTAACATAGTAAGACAAGTAAATTTATATCTTTGTTCGTATTTTTGTAGGGTTACATTGGAGTATGCAAAGGCTGTATTAGAATATCATGTAGAACAATTGGGACTCAAATATGTATATAACTCATATGCAGAAAATCAGTATCAAAACATAAATATTGTGAGGAGGAATTTGTGGAAAACTGGAGCAAGATCTATCAGCAAGTCAGATTTTGATCCAAAACATCCATTCCGAGTACGATTTGTAGGAGAATCTGGTTTAGATGAAGGAGGGCCAAGAAGAGAGTTCCTTAGATTACATGTACTAATAAAAACCATACAAGAAACTGGAGTGATGGAGGGTAGTGGAAACAATTTATGTTTCTCCCATGACATTCAATTGTTTGCTCAGAATAGATACTATTTGGTTGGAAAAATGGTTGCCCTCTCATTGTGCCATGGTGGTCCAGGACTTTATTGTTTAGCAAAGCCTGTTTACCAATATTTGGTGTCTGGAAATGTTAAACATGTTGAAGCAGATGATATCCCAGACTATGAAGTAAGACAGTTAGCCAAAAAAGTAGGTGAAGTTTTGAAGTTGTTATATTGTTGGTTACTTATATATATTACCTACTGGTTGATTAATGTTTGTATTATGCAAAGACTTGTGATATGGTTTCTGAAATTTATTACATTAGTGAAGCATCATTTCACCTATAATATAATTTTCTATGGCTTGTGTTGAGAAAATGTAATTTGAGGTTAAGAGTAGGATTGAAAGTGATTGTCTGGGAGCCAATTTATAATGAGTGCCATTTACTCTCTGTGTGACACATGAATTTGAACACCACTAATAAAAAGTTGTTAACTGATTTGCTGACTGATGCTGAAATTCACCGCAAAGATAAGCCATGTGTACATGTCTAGACAAGGATTGAGTCTTGTGTTATAATAAATTGTGGCAGTCGTTTGAGTAGAGTATTTCCTAAATTTTGAATTTCTTTCTGTTAGATCCAAGACTGCAACTCAGATGAAGACATGAGAAATGCTTTAGAATTGTTAGGAGATCATGTTATTGCTGTCTCTGGATACACAAGTCCAGTCGAAGAAGTAACTCTTAAGGAAAGGGAGCTCATCATTAAAAATCTTGGAGTGCACTATTGTGTTCACCGGTCATTGTCTGAAATTGAACAGTTTAGAGATGGTCTAAACACATTGCAAATAGCAGACTTGATTACTAAAGAGCCTGGTAAGTTAGTTTTCTTCCCTTTATATGTTAAAGTGTCTTCACAACTGCAGACATGACAGACAATGACCATGATGCCATGGAAAATATGGGTAAACTTGCAAATAATGATTTTACCCACACTGTATATTACATTGCAGCAGACTGAACATAAATGTATACAGTTGTGAGGACCATGGAATTTTACCTACTATGATCTTGTTGAAGAGGAGCCCATCAATTTGGTATTGTCATGTTTTAGACATTGGCATATAGGCTACATGATTTTTTTCCATGCACAATTCAATACAAGATCTACTGTTTGATTTCAGTTGAAATTTGGCACACTGCTAATCTATGATGAGTAAATTTCCTAATGGGATATTGGTGCAAGTTTGTGCATCAGGTACATGTAATTAATACAGAAATTATACAAAGCTAGCCTAGGATCCAGGCTAAGTTCAACGGTTGCATTCGTCTCTACTAACACCTAGCCTTGATGCTAGGAATTTTCAATTAACGATGTAAATTTATACAGAACACTATAGTAACGAAAAATACACTGCCCAACTTCGCTTATTTTGATTGGAAAGCTCAATTTATGCTGGGGAGTTCGTATTACTGTAATATGCTGAGCGTTAACTCTGATTGGTTGGGAAAAAATGCAGAGCAGTGACTGGCAGTTATCAGAATATTTTTCATTACTACAGCAACATTTTTTACATGACCCTCTTTTATGACTTTCTGCATAAATTTGACTGTTAATTCAAAATTCAAGGCTTGGGTGTTAGTAGAGACGATGCAACCGTAAAACTTAGCCTGGCTAAGACGAAGCCTGCTGCATTTGTCTGGCATGCTGGTGATCTTCAACATTTTCATATCCACATAAATTTGTTTTGGGTTTCAACCTACTGTAATTAATTAATTAATGAGATCATATCTAATTGATTTTGAATTTTTGTTAATATCTTGTTTATTTTTAGGTTGTCTGCAAAAGCTAATGTTGGCCAGTATTTTGATTGAATGTTTTTAATTCTGGTAATTACTTGCAGGTTCTATGGAGTACTTCTTATGTGCAAATAAGAGCATGAAACCAACTGTAAGCTATATAAAGGATATGACTGTTGATTACAGTCCAGAAGGTTCAAATGACAGAATTCTAGAAGAAACTACCATATACAACTGGTATGAATATCTGGATGATTGTGCAAAAGGTGAATTCACATTAGTATTTTGGACATTTGAGCTTTTGGTCCAGTTGTGCATTCATTCCTATAACTGATTTTCATTTTCCTCCTATGTGAATAAGAAGGTAGCACACTTTTATTCATGTGAGTGAATATTTATTGTGTTTTTGTAGGTTACTGAGCAGCCAAGCTTTTTAATTTACATGTTTTCCATTCATATACATGATGAATGTGCATGTCTCCATCTAATGAGCTATGCTGGCAATGGGTTGGTATAGGACAATTTTAGGCCTCTTGAAAGAGCTCTTAGTCACGTGACCTGTATCTGTTTTAATACTATTGGAGACAAATAACTACAAAGTTTATTTTCTGTATATGCAAGTGCATATGTGACAACTCAAAAAATTAGTTTATTAGAACCACCTTCATCTCAATGAGCATCCTTCTAGTTAAATCAAGAATTGCCTAATGAGCTGCTTTCCTCCAAATTGACCATAAACACAGTAAGTTTGCACCAACCAATGCCAGGGACACTATGTATGTAGTGCCAGCTACTAAATGTTCCAAAAATTGAAGAAGCAATAAGGCGACAAGTGTGTGTTGCGATACAATGTCTGTAGTCTCCAGTGGTGGTTGTACTTTCATTTGGACTAAAAACATCCCTGTGTGTTTATCCTGGTGTGCATATTCAGTATGACTTTAAAACCTGTAATAGAAGCCATAAGTAATGGTAAAGTACAACATAGGGGAATATGGCTTCTCTTAGAGCATCTACACATGAGAAATGTGTTGTCAGATCATATGACGAATATAATCAATGTGGAACATGGTTCCGTGGGCACTGATCACACGTCCGATTCAGATCACCTTATATTCTATTGAAATCTGGCAATAACAAGAGCAGTATTTATTGCGAAATGAAGAAAAACAAGTTTAACACTTTTATAGTTCTCAAACAAACATGTTTGTCCTGTGAATTTAAAACAGGCGAGAGCTCCAGACTTATACTTGAGAGAATAGCATCCTGTACTTTACCTTTGCAGTAAATTTGAAAGCCAACTTCTTGGGTGTTCTGACATGGTGTGCACTTGGTCCAAGTGAATCTAAAACAGTAATTTGTTTTGAAGTGATGTTTGTTCTTTTTTTTTCCATGATGCTACTGGATTATATGGACTGGCAATCATATTTTTATGCTATATTGTATTTTCACAGGAGAAGTTAAAGCAAATTTTAATGATGGAAATGAAAATGCTGAAGTATCTGTTCAGATTTCTCTTGGAGATTTGCTTACATTTTTCACGGGAGTTGCATCGGTCCCACCACTGGGATTACATCCAGAGCCATCCATATCCTTTCTGAGAGACAAAGACCACATTTTTCCCACAGCTAATACATGTGCCAATATCCTATCACTCCCACTAGGTTTAATTGATGTGGAGGTATTTGGAGAAAGATTCACATATGCTCTTACTAACAGTATGGAATTTGGAGTTGTTTAGAAAGTTGTCATTGTATTCATAAAATATTCACAATGACCATAGTGTATATTATACCCAGTTACAATATCACCTACTTGGCTTTGTTTCTCCAAACTATGTCCTCTCAAAATATACACAAGTTTTCCACCTGCTTCATTTTTTAAAATTTTCCACCAAAACACAAGCCTCAAGAGAACCCAGACTGCTTCACTTTTTTAAAATTTTCTGCCAAAAGACGATCCATGAAAATTAGAGTTCTCCATCTATTCTTGGTTCCTATCAAACTTTTCCCTGCCTCTAGGCAGACTATGCAATCAGTCAATTGTGGTTTTCATATAATAAATTGAAGAAGTAACTGTCCAAATTTGTGTACACAAAATCCTATGCTTGCTTTCGCCGTCGTCAACTTTACATTTTCGACTTCTTCTTAAAAACCACAAACTGTATAGCTGTGAAACTTTCTAGGAAGGTACCTTGGGTGGTTCTCTCGATTTTTGGTGAATTGTTTTGTTATTTTTGGTAAAAAGTGATATTTTCATCTTCTTGTTAAAAACTGCAAGTCCGATTGTGTTGATACTACATATATAGGTACTACATGTTGACGTTTCTCAGATTTGTTCATTTTGTCTTTAATTCTTTAATTTTGGTGAATATTTTTGTCATTTTTTGTAAAAAGTGATATTTTCGACTTCTTGCTTTAATTGAAATGTGTATCGCTAAGAGCGGAGCTATCTCAGCTGACAGGCTGTATGCTTGATAAAGTTTAAAATGTTATGACATTTTCCACAGGAGCAAGGTTGGAATATTTTCGCTATGTTTATAATATAAAATGTTATATTTTGACATTTGCCTTTTATATGTGTGTACTATTTCGCGTTAACTTTGTATTACTACTGTGAATGTTTTAAACAGTACATATACAATGCTTTTGGGTATCATGTGTAAACTGATGGGAACAGTCCTGTATTTGTCTACCATGGGCTACTATGTTAGCATTTCAGTGAGAACTTTGCACAAACCAAACCATTTCACATACTGGTAGACTGAACTTTTCCAAATTTTCTGTTTAAATTGCATGATACAATCTCTGCCAACATTTTGTGAGAAATAAACAAAACTGTAGGTACATGATTTTAGGCCTCTGAATTCAGTAATTTCCTATGATCTACGGTAATTACATCATACAGTTACCTGAGTTTGGCTCATTTCAGGGACCAATCAAACTTGTTTAACCTATATTTTTCCCAAACGCACTACATTTGGATATAAACCTGGTAATCTAATAATAGTGGACTGATGACCAACAGTATAGTGTCATAAGACATGTACATTTATAAATTAACAATGTTATTAAAAATTAAACTTTACAGAAAATGTTTTTATAACATTCTGATTATTTTGTTTTGATTATTTTTGCAATACAGCTGCAATAAAGGCATTGACTTGATGGAATCAAATATGGCAGTAGTTTGGATTGTTGATTTTATTTGTAACAAATGTAACAAAAGTTGCGTTTTTCAATGAACATTTGCAGAAATCATGGCAAAAACATCGCCGTATCAGTTTTGAGGCAGGATTCGCAGTGCATCATGGAGAATCAAACGTACGCTGAATGATAACAAGACAACCATTGGCAGTCGTTATTCAGTGTACATTTGATTTCTCATGATGCGTTGCGAATCCTTCCTCAAAAATGATACAGCAATGTTTTTGTCAAGAATTCTGGCAACGACCAAGTGGATTTGAATTTATAAGTTTTTGTTGTTGTATTTTCCGAGTTTGTTGATTTTTAAGGTTTTTTTGTGTCAGGAGTTTCACAACTTGTCTTTTTATATAGGCAGGAGAATATATACATTTCATTTTCATGAAATCAATAATCTACGCTATGTGTGACTGATTTGTTTTGAGATTTGAACAAATTTGTCAAAATATCGGACATCAAATCATATTCTGTAAATGGACAGTGTCATTATCAATGCTTGTTTATTATTGAGGCACAGGTACATTCTATATTGAACAAATATTACTCTAGGCCATTGTGTTATTTCTTTATATCAATCTAGCTTCTACTCATGGTTTCAATCTAATTTGTTACTGCTTGAAAGATGTGTGTCAAAGCACAACATTTGGGACTGAGACTGTCATTAACAACGACTTGATATGTTTTAAACAAGGAAAGGGGAAAAACAGAAAGGTAGTTATGAAATATCTTAAATGAGGGTGGGGAGAACATGGAGATACCATACTGGCCCTGATATAGGCCCATCCTAACACTTTCAAAATATTGCGATATAATTATAAGGGTATAAGCACAACTTTAGAATTTGATCTGGTTTTGTATAGTGGGGAGGGGTGGGGATGCTTACCAGTGTAAGTACAGTAAATAAAGTTAAAATTGTTGAAATATAATTGTTTTTTATTACAGTTTTTATCTATTGCTGTGATAATACGATACACAATATGAAACAGCATTAAACCTTACACCCTGTGTTCAATTGTTGTGTTTATAAAGGCTTTGACATCTTCATAGATCATTACTCCACTACTGTCATCATGTGCAAGGAGTAGTCCTTGCATACACTTCATACCTGTATTCGGTAATTTGCGAAGAATTTCCTGTACAGCTCTGTCTAATTCATATTCAGTTATAATTGAATAAGTTGCTGCTACTGATAAGCCAAATTCAGACATTCTTCGAAAAACAGTTCTTCTTGAAACTCCAAGCATACTGGATATGTCAGAAACACTAAATCCTTCGCGTAACAGAAAATCCAGTTGTTCTTGTGGGATAGCATATTTTGGACGACCTGGGTCACCAGAGAATATTTCCGATGACTGATAAGAGAAACTAACATTGGAACTCGAATCAATGGTGTCTTTTGCTGCACATATCTTAGATATGACTTGGAAAGGAAAATCATGCAAAAGTTGCAATGACACAAGTTCATCTTTCAGTAAAACAAGTCTATCATAGACTGCGTCAAGATTATTCGGCTCCATTTCTAAGCATGCTGAGATTGCATTAATCTCAGAAATGACAAGCTGTGCCCAGTCACTAGCCATGTTGCATAATGCATTGTGGGATACGGATGTCTACTTTCTTTGATATAACAATAATGGTATAAATAATTT